GCAGAGCTCCAAGGCTCTCCTTTGGGGCCGCTGCTCACAGGGCCCCAAGGCATGGGCGGCACTCACAGCAATGGCTCAGCCTGGCCACACTTGGGGCCGGCAGCTTCCTGGGACAGTGGCAGAGCAGGGATGCTGTGGCATCCAGGGCAGTACAATAATTTCCAAGGCTGTTGATAAAAGCCCAGGAGGTGGTTGGACAGCAGCAGTTGCTGGGAGCAGAGGGTGTTTGTGATCAGCACCACAGGAGCTGAGCCCAGGGGCTGCTCCTCAAGGCTGAGGCCTCCCAAGCACGGATCAGAGCCCAGAGCGGCCTGGAAAAGGGCTGGGGATGCAGCAGCAGAGGGAGGGTGATCCTGTGGGTATTTATTGATCAGGAGACTCAAGGAATCTCTCAGCCACTGTCCTGGGGTCCTTCAGCAGGGCAGTAGGAGGAATCAATAGACTCAGACACCCGTGTGTATCCATGGCAGGATCATCTCCACAGGCAGTGTTTTCTTCTGGCTAGTCAAAGACCCTCTCGAGGGAGAGCCGGAGGGACTCCACAGAGCAGGACCTCCAGCACCTCCCTGCCAAGAAGTAGATGAAGGGTTTGATGCTGCAGTTGATGCAGGTGAGCAGGAAAAAGAAATGGGAGGCCACAATAATGTAACCAAGCTGCTGCAGGGAATTGCAGAGGATGAAAAGGAGAGTGAAGAGACCAATGGAGACGATAACGATGTCGAGCCCCTCGGGTTGCTTCTGCTCGGAGCCCCACTTGGCTTTAATTAAATTAATTGTGCTGGAAATGACCAGCACAGTTATGGGTGTGACAAGGAGCAGCAGGATGATGGCCCACATGGTGATGAGGGCTGCCCGGCAGTGCTCCTGATCATTTGATTGGCACTGGGATGTCAGTGTGGGAATCTCATTGAAGAGAGCAGAGAAAGCCCAAAACTGGACAATCATCACCACCCAAAGCAGATCATTAGGAACGTCACGGCGGCAGCAGCGTTTCAAGACCTTTTTGATATACATTGAAAGGCCAAAAGTCATCAGCAAAAGCGGCACCTAGTAACAGGAGAACAAAGAGAGTCGGAAAAGGAAACGCAGGTACAGTACGGGCAGGATAAGAGAGCAGTACACGTCCTCCACCAGGAGGATGAGGGCAGAGGGGACTGTGAGGAGAAGGAAGAGGAAGTCGGTGACAGCCAATGCACGGATGAAAAAGTTATCACCCTTCAGGCTGAGGAGGCGAATGACAGCCCCATTCCCAACCAGCCCACAGAGGCAGACGAGCAGGGTCAAACTGTGGGTGACCACGATGGTGACATCTGTCTCACAGAGATCATCTCCTTCAGTGGGTGAGGCAGGAGATGGGGACAGGGTGCTCACCTCCATGGATGGACAGTGGGCAGGCAGTGGGATGTGGCCCCTGGCTGTGGTCAGAGTCGATGGGCAGTGAGTGCTTGGAGAACCCAGGGATGGACCGTGTGGCTCCTCAGCAGCTCCCCGCAGTGGGAAGGATTCAGTGGTGAGGAGTGAAGGTGAGGAGGGCAGTGGAAATTGTGGAATGGGAGAGGGAGGCAGTAAGGTTGGGCTGTTCAGCAGGGGATGCGGAAGCACAGGGCAGAGGAGGGTGGAGCTGGGGAGGGCACTGCAGTGACCTGGAGAGGGTGGCAGGAGGAGAGCAGCTGCTGCAGGAGAGGAAGGTGGGGTAGGGAGGAAGGCAAACATTCCACTCACCTGTTCCCTGTGGGGCAGCAGCAGGCAAAGGGGTCTGTGCAGATCAGTGGCGCTTGCTGGTCCCTCTTGCTCCTTTGGGATCCATGTCCTAAAGCGGCTCCTGCCAGGTCAGGGACATGAAGGAGAAAGTGCCCAGATCACCAGGAGCTCCTTATTCCCATCCTGCTGGCTCCTCTCTGTTCCCTGTCCTGCTATTGCTCCCCAAGCCTTGGTGGAATCACACAGAATTGAGGAAGTCAAAAATTGCAACTTTGCCTACTTCAGAAATTCAATTCCTCTGAGTTATTTATCTCAGGTGTGGTTTTTTGTTTCTTTTTTTTTTTTTCTTCAGAGGAAGTGGGTTTTCTCAGAAGCTGTCTATGAATATTTTTTGTGATTGGCTCCTCTTTCCCTTCTGATGCGAAACACTTCTTCCCTGCAGAGTGTTCCAGTCTCCAACTACCTTCCCTCTCTAGACAGGTTTCTACTATTCCTCAGTACTCTTCCTTGAGGAGTCATTGTCCCTCCAGCAGCAGAGGGATGCTGGTGGTGCTGGTGGCACTGGAATGCTGCTGCCAGTACTGGCAGTGTGGGTGAGGCAGCTGGGTGCTTCTCAGACACAACTCCTGTTCCAGAAAGGGCTCTGAGATCATTGCAAAAACATGCTCTGCTCCTAAGGAAGCACAGCTCAGCNAAAAAGTGCTTTAAAGATTTTTAGTACTTCTCATTATCATCCTCTGCCTCTGTATATAATAAATTTATTTAATACTATTACATTTGAACCCGTTTTTCTATTCGTGAAATGTTTTTTCTCCCAGTCCTCATCTCAACTCATGAGCCCTTTGTTAATTTTTGTTTCCCTCTCCTCTGCCCAGCTGACAGCAGGAGAAGGTGAGTGAACGGCTTTCGCGGTGCCTGGCGTTTGGCCAGTGCCAAACCACGACAGGCTTGCAGCAGGCTATCAGCATCAGAGCCCACATTTCTTACTGACAGTACCCCTGATGGTGCAATAAAAGTTATTGGAGATTAGATGTTGGAGTGCTGGGGTGCCCCTTCCAGCCCTTCACCAGAGCTCATCCTCCTCCTCATCCTCAGCCTTGGGAATACTTGTGGTTGTTTTTTCCTGATCTCACCCTTTGCAAGCAGGGACACCTTCCACTAGACTGGGCTGCTTCAAACCCCATCCAGCCTGGCCTGGAACACCTCCAGGGATGGGGACGCCAGAGCATCTCTGGGAAACTGTGCCAGGACCTCTCCACCCTCGCAGGGAGGAATTTCTTCCCAATATTTCCCCTAACCCTGTTCTCTGGCAGTGGGAAGCCATTCCCCCTTGTCCTGTCACCTCAGACCTTTGTCCAACGCATCTCTCCAGTTCTTGGAGACTCTTTAGGCCCTGGAAGGGGCTCTAAGGTCTCCCTGAAGCCTTCCCTTCTCCAGGCTGAACAGCCCCAGCTCAGAGACCTCAGAGAAGCCACAGGGAGGGTGTTGATGCCCCATGGAGACAATGGTGACAAACACAGATGTCACCCTGCTCCTGGAAGGGGGTGGCTGTGCTGAGGAGCACGGACTGCTCCTCCCCTTGGAGCTGCACTATCCCAGCCTGCTGAGGGAGAGGCCAAAGCCAGGGCAGAGGAAGAATTTCTGAAGGCACAAAACCACCAGCAAGGAAATCAGTAAAAAACAAGTTTAATATTAAGCAAACCAATATGCTATCTCTATTTGTGTGTTTGTGTGTGTTCACGGGCATGTGACAAAAGGACAGCATGGGTAAGGATTAAAAGGAAAATGACTTAAAAGCTTTACAACACTCCAACTTAACTGCACTTCTGTTACACTTTAAGCTTAGCAATTCAGCAGAAGGATATCACTTAGCAGCATTTAATCCTATTTATGCCTGATAGTTCCTTCCAGGCCTGCCCCTGTCAGATCTCTCAGGTACTAACAGAGCTGAGAGAGCAGCATTTCTGCCACATTTGCCAGAGCAGATGCAGACGTGTGTGCACACAGCCAGCCAGGCAGGCAGAGTGAGTGCAAGGTGCCTGTGAGCAATTGCCCTGGCAGGCAGTGAAATGCTCCCTGC